TCTAAGGAAGAAATTCTTCAAAATCATATGTCAGTTTTGAATATTTTTAATATTCCAAACAACCAAAATGAATTTGAATTACCATATCTGTATTGGATTCCGAAACTTCATAAAAATCCTTGCAAACATAGATACATAGCGGGTTCCAGTAAATGATCAACCAAGCCTCTTTCTTTACTCCTCACTAAGATATTAACAGTAGTGAAGGAGAAACTTCAAGAGTACTGTGCAACAATATATTCGAGAAGTGGTGTAAATCAGATGTGGATACTTAAAAATTCCAAGGAACTTTTGGAAAATTTGAAATCACAAGATTTTACCAAAATCAACAGCTTAAAAGCTCACGACTTTTCAACTTTATACACAACCATTCCCCATAAAATTAAAGTCCAGGCTTTTTGATATCATTGACAGCTGCTTTTCAATAAAAATGGAACTCGTAAATTTACTTACCTTGTCATTGGACATTTGCAAAATTATTTTGTTAAAAAACATTCTGATTGTACACACAAGTACTCTGAAGTTGACATTAAAAAGATGCTTGAGTTTCTGATTGACAATATCTATGTGGTTTTTGGAGACCAGGTCTTCCAAAAATCTATTGGAATTCCCATGGGTACCAGTTGCGCCCCATTATTAGCTGATCTGTTTTGTATTCATATGAAGCAGAATTTGTCCAAAATCTTCTACGTGAAAAGAAGAAAACAGTTGCTGTGGCCTTCAACTCGACATTTAGACATATCGACGACGTATTGTCAATTACAATGGCTATTTCCATTCTTATGTCGATACGATATATCCTGGTGAACTTGAGATAAAAGATACCACAGAGTCTGACACATCTGTTTCATATTTGGATATTTTACTTGAAAAAGACGTTAATGGTAATCCAACAACCAAGCTTTATGATAAACATGATGACTTTAACTTTTCAATCGTCAACTTCCCTTACTTATGCAGCGATATACATTCATCACCTGCATACGGGGTTTATATCTCTCAGTTGATTCGATATGCAAGAGCATGTTCTACGTATGTACAATTTATAAAACGAGGTAAATTATTGACAAACAAGTTGATGAAACAAGAATATCAGCAGTCTCGTTTAAATTCATCATTACGTAAATTCTATGGTCGATACAATGACCTTGTCAGCAAATACAATTTATCATTGAGTCAAATGCTGGCTGGCGTTTTTCATACTAATTGTTAGGCCATTATTTACAAACTGAATTGTCGACGGATTTTACCGTTATTTCCCGATCATGACAAGGAGCACACGGCGGGTGTGACCGCGGCAGAGGATGCTCACTCCTCCATTGCACCTGATCCCACCTCTCATGTTTTGGAGGTCCGTGTTTGCTCTGCTCCTATTTTGTATTGTTTAATGGACTTTTGAGCTTGTATATATTTCATTAATAAGTTCTCCAAACATTTATTCTTTCTTTTTAAATTCTTTATCACTATATTTGTTTCCTTTCTTCTTTTTTTTTAAACATGGCAAATATCACTCGTATTACATTGCGTATCGTTAAGACAAATTCATATAGCATAATAAATTCTTGTTTGAATTATAAACATACGTAAAGTTGAATACTACATTGATGTGAATTGTTAACTTATTTCCTCACCAATTTCTTGCAGCGAACACCACCTTTCACGAATTTTCGATAAACCAATGAGATGATACAATGACACAATATCCAGTCTAGTTTAATGAATTATAAACCTGAGGGGGCATCAGTGGCCGCATCATCAATAAATTAAAGGTAGTAAACATTGTTCCACAATACTGCACCAGAATATTGAAAAGAATTTGAAATAGTTATGTGTTTGGAACACACAAACAGAAAGATTCAGATCTGAGAGGGTAGGATTCTGATGATTGATAACTGAACAGTTCATACAAGTAATTCGGACTTGCATCGTAAAGCGGTTTATACAGTAAAACATACTTATTTACAACCAATTGTTCATGTATTGTAAGCCAATCAAAATTTTTCATTTTTCAAGGTTTAGATGGCGTGTCACAGGCAACATTTAGAACATGGAGCTGTCCGTTTCTGTTACTTGTGAATATCGAGGCTAGAGGTTGATGCATTACTCTCAATTTTTAAACATGCAGTAATCAATGACATTATGGAAACATAATAAAATAACTTGTATTTGGGATACGGAAGATATATTTCTTAATCTTGAGTAATACAGATGTGTTTATAGATATTAATTCACAAGCAGCATTATGTGTATATTAATCATGTTAATTTTAAGAGAATTATCAATATGGATTGCAAGATCTTTCATGTGTGAAACTCTCAAGACAATGACAAGTCAAGACAAATTTTAGATTTTGGCTGGTCAATTTTGACCGTCTTTTATGTGTGCTTATACATGCATTTAGTTTTACAACTGTTCCAAATCATCTGATTGTGATAGCGCCATGTTTCTATATTGCTTAATTAAGTCAGAGAATAACATATTTTGCATTGGAGAAGCATCACTGTCTGAAATGTTTCAGCATCATCAGCAAATAAGTCAATGTTTGAATTTTGGACGAGTAATGGGAGATCATTAATGTAAAATAACTCTAATATAACTCTAACGAAAACATATAGGATATAGTTTCAACTACATGTGTAAAGTTTATCTAAGTAAATACTAGTAGTGTCAAAGTTTTTATTTCTAAGAAATTCAAGTCAATTGTAATATTCTAATTACTTCAATTTTTATTTGCTTTTTTTGACGAAACGTGATATTTGTATATTTCTATCATTTACCAATTTTTTTTCATCCTAAATACTTAATTCCAGAGAATTTAAAGCAATATGAGCTGCAAATTTGATGTCGGATATTTTTGTTGCAAAATTGTAATTAACTATTGCAATGACAGAAAAAAAGAATGTTTATAAATTTCTGTTGTTCAAATTTGCGATGGGAGAACTATTCATAAGCTTTTATTGAAGCACAATTATATTAGTGTCGTCCTGTACAATACTATAAATTCAATTGTATTGAAATCTTTCTTTTGAAACAAACAAATACCTTATTTTCATATAATTAGTCATAAAGGTTTCAGTTACATACAGATTTATCATAAAAGCTCACTTTAACTGAAAATTAAAATTTTCAAAAATGCAGCTCATATTGCTTTAATGATTGTAAACGGAAATAAGAGGCCCATGGGCCAAAACGCTCACCTAAGTCACTTTGGCCCTTTCGTTCTTCATCATCAGATTTTTCCCTATAAACATGTAAAACATATAAAATTTTGATCGCCTTTTGTGGCCCCACCCTACACCCAGGGGCCATGATTTGAATAAAATTGAATCTTCACTATCAGATCTAGAGAGTGCGTCCGTATAAATATGACTGTTTTTTAGCAGAAGGTTTTTATTTTTATTTTTTTAAATAAAGAACAAGGTACGGTTTCAACACAAATCTGGCCCTGTACTTTTCTAAAATATGAAAGTGATGAAAGAAATTACATGTATATATTTTCTTAAAAAGTTGCAGAAGACGTTAATTGTCAGTGGAATTTTCTTTCGGATAATATAGACGACATGCATCGCCCACAAAAATTTTGAGAAATGTGATTTTTTTCAAAGAATTCTACAAAACATATCTGAAAATGGAAGTGAGCGACGCTGTGGACACTATTTTCTAAAGGAAAATATCCCTTGAAATGAGGCATTTTGAGGCTTTCTCTGTTTAAAACAGAAATGTATTAAATTAATGACGTCATATTTCCAGAATGGTCCTCCTTCATGCCATATTCTTTCATGATTCATCACATTCATATACTCAACTCATATTTAAGCCCATTTTAATACTTTTTGAAAATATCAATCTTTTAGGGCACAATTATAAGCCAAAACCTGGATTCGCGACTGGACTTTTAATCAGGATTTTGTACATGTATTTAAGCACCATAAAAATGATAATAAATACCTTTATTTCTTAAGTGGTGCTTGCAAAATTACGCAATAAAAAATTCCTCGCACGTATTATGAATCTACAGTACAGTAAAACTCGTTTAGTACGAATATGGATAGAGCAAATTTACATATACAGCGAAGTGTTTTGTATCGCAGATATAGCAAACTGATTTTGTGTCCCATAGAAGTTAAAAATAACGAATCTTCATCTTTTATAGCGAATATTTAGGATCTCAAAACTTGAAATGAAGTGACATTACTTTTCGTATTTTTTTTTTTCCATTTCTTTTTTTTTTTTTTAATTTATCCGGTTAAAACTTTTGTACCCCTGTGTAAGTTTGTTATTTAATACTTCCTTGAAAATATTCGGTAGTCTAGAAAGACACTTATTTTTGCAAATTTGCTACATTTATTTTTTGAGGAATTTGTTATATGGATATGACAAATTATGGATATTCACAGGTCCCCCGAGCTTAGCTATAACCGATTTTTACTGTATTCCTTTGTGAAACTTTGATCATGAAATGTAACCCCACTCTACCCACTTGAACTTTTAATTCAAAAATTCCAAACACGAAAAACCTATTTGATGGTGTCAGTCTAATTGAAAGGACAAGCTTTCCTTCACATAATATACAATTCTTTCTTTCATCTTAGAAGGGTCCACCATTTTCCTGGGGGGTGGGGGTTTCAAAGTCATTGTTTAAGTTACTTTAGACACAGATATTTAATAATACTGAAAATTCAGACCACCCTTATCCCCCCTTCTTTAAGTTCATACAAGTTTCTTAATTTTAGCCCCACTTCCTGTATCTGCTCCTTTCAGAATAGTTGAAAAGTAAATCATGTTAAAAAATTATGCACTTAGTAAACTTAAATTTTTTTTGTAAAGGAATGCAGAATATCATTTTGCTTTTTGTTTGGTTCTATACATTTTGTTTTTTGTTGGGCTCTATACATTTTCTTTTTTGTTATACAATTGGTTGAAAGACATCTAGTCAAAAAGAAAATACTGTATAGGCATCACCAAAATTACTAACTCAATTAAAAAAACAAAATGAAAAATTGAAGAGCAAAAAGTTACAAGTTTTAATGGCAATATGCAATCATTTCATTAACATCTCATAAAACAATAAATGACCTTTACAAGTAGAGTGGACTTAACATTTACTTAAACTAGTCATTTAGAGATCAAAAGAAAAATCTGTGCCTGCTTCGAACTACAGTTTGTGGTAGTGACAGATAAAACACAGGAATGTTGTACAATTGTGAAAGCTAAAACCTTCATTATAAATCATAAAAAAAACTGTTGTAAAAAAAACCTAAACAAATAAAAAAATCTTTCTCACAAAGAAATTCAAATAAATCCATGAAATCATATTTATAAATATTTTTAGTAATAAAAGAAAATGTGTGTATAAAAATATCCTTTATTTACGTTGTATTCATTATGAATGATGAATGTCTTTATAAAGAGGAATGTGATACAGGCAGTAAAACAATTATATACTCTTGATGTCTTCTACCCGAGGCAAACAATATCACATATCTTTGTTGAATAAGTAACCAATGTGAAATGTTTGGAATTTCTCTTTTACAGTTCTTGTGTTATATATTGATTTTTCAAATTAATAAGATTTACATGTACAGTGTTTATAGCCAAGTCAGACAGTACACAAAGAAGACTAAATTTTGATCTAATTACACATTAAATCAGGTAGCAGTGAATGTTTGAGATCTGGTAGCTCCACTATTTTGTAAATCTTCTGACATTTTCAAGAAGACAGAGAAATCAAACAATAGAATGACTGGTGATGTAAGATGACTAGAATAATGAACAGTGAACATTGCATAAATATTGTGCCAAGATTGTGCCAAGGTTCAAGACGACCAGACAGATTCTGGTCATTAACATCTTGTACAAAATACCATTTTGAAAATGTTGATATCTTGCTAATTTAAAACTTGAAATTAAAATTACAAACATGATTTATCAAAATCTTATTAAAGACTTAAAAGATACATCATATATTGGGGGGGAAAAAAGACCATGGGTCACAATACTCGTCTGAGTCATCACCATTCTCTTCTTTCAGGAAAAAAAAATGAATTATATTTTCATTTCTTACTAAATAAACAAATGTTCCTTAGTTATGGCCCCTGCCTATTCCTGGGCACTGTGATTTAAAAATAATATACACTATAGCTATTATAGGATGCTTTCATTTCAGAATATCATGCTTTCGTTAAGAAGAAGATTACCTCCCTTTGAATGAGAGAACATAGTTCTTAATTTGAATGACCTTGAATCCCCTTCATTTAAGGATGCTTTCTGGCAAGTTTTGGTAGAAATTTTGTGTGGGGGTCTGGAAAAGTAAGAAATGTGACAAGTTTACAGATGACACAGAATCCATAGACAGACCACCACAGAAGAGTAGTGTCTGAGTAGAGACATTGAGCTTTGGACCCAGAGAGGCTATACAAGACAACAGAATTCCTGCACTAAACTTGAGTAATGCAGCGTTTTTAATGCAGTAACTTCAAAAATGGAATGATCATAGTAACTTTTATATTTCATCCAGAACAAAGATAAACTTTCTGGAAACACAACAGACATCAAATTAAACATTTCCTTTTGAAGGTTGTGCTGATACATATATTCATGTATAAACAAATGTTCATCATTATAAAATATCATCAAACATTAATATGAAAATCTTCATAAAACATTAAACTTGAATCACTCTGTCATAGAAGAGTCCTGACAAATGAATCTAATCACAGAGATTAATTAATTAAAGTAATTACTAGTAGTGAAGCATCATATCTCATCCAATGAATGTCATCCAATCAAAAACTTTGAAAGTTAATACTACTTCAATATACACAAGATGTCATCCATTTCTAAACCAAAGGTCAGTCTTATATAGCAGCATTACACCTATAAGGCGCTGCAATACCCAATAAGATTTTCTGTACCAAATTGCATAAATCAGTGATTTTTTGTCATTTTTTATCAACCAATGAGATTTTTTTGTCCTTCGTTGATGTACAGCACAATAAATGTTGTTATTGGATGCTAATTGACTAATGAGATTTTGTGTTACAAAATGCGTCTGTGTCAGACAATGGTACCTGGCCATGACACAACAGTCAATGTAACAGCACCATCAGCTTGTTTGAGGAGATCCACAGCCCTGGAATGTGTTATGTTCACTAAGGAATGCTGGTTAACACTCAAAAGAATATCACCACATCTGAAATGAATTTTACATCAAATAGCTATAAATAAAGCTTTGAAAATCAAACTGAAGCATTATATTGATCATCATAAATTTTTTAATTGATTACAAATTTCTTTTAAACTATTTTCTACAAAATACAAACACACAACTTCCACTAACTTTAATCTGCCATCTTTGGCTGCTGGTGTTTCCATGACAACAGACTTAACATGGACAGGTACAGATGGTCCTGTGTCCTTATCTGACCCTCCAACCAATGAGAATCCCAGGCTTCCACTGGGACTCCTCAGTAATGTCACAGTCTTAATGGTTTGACAGATGCTGTAAGGAATAGAATGTACAATGTATACAAATTTCAAATGTGCCCTACTTTAGAGCTGATTCTACAAAAGAAATTACCTTGGAACTTTCTGCCAAAACAGCCACGTAGGTGTGAAGTTTCCCTGTCCATATGAGGTTTCTGACCCCTCAATGACCTTCAGACAGACCACCTTTGCCTCTGTGTTTAGTTTCACCAGATTAACTGCTTGGTTATGACTCAACCCAAGCAAACTCTTTCCATTTATAGACAACAAAATGTCTCCTTTCTGAAAGTAAATATTTTTCATTACTGCCAAACAGTAGTACAAGGAATGAACATAGGTAAATACCATCCTAAATGACTGCTTTACACTTCCGACCTTTCTTACTGACCTTGACCTGTTTGGTTTTGCCCAGACATCCTGTGATGTTGATGTTTGTGATGTAGATGGGGGTATCTCCCCGGGGACTGTCAACTCCCCCTGCTACACTGATTCCCAGAGATTCCTGAGCATCCTATAACATATCAAAAATAAGTCAGGATACTGCATCTACAAGGGTTTCACAAGACTTATTTAATAGGTCACTTAAAACAGTGAGTATTTATTTGCTACTCTTTTGAATTCTCTAAATATATTAAGATATTTGTACTAGCCTTGGATATAGTGTTGTATTAAGATTTTTTCTTACTTTGGATGCAGTGCTATATCTACATGTATATATTTGAGCATACCTTGGATGGAGTGCTATATTTAGATATTCATGCTAACCTTGGATAAAGTGTTATATTTAGATATTTGTGCTGACCTTGGACACAGTGACAAGTTTCTCCCCTTGCTGTCCACTCAGACTACTGTATGGTGAATGGTTTTCATAATTAGGATGAACAACAGTATTATCTGCAGTAGATCTAATGAGATCAGGTGTCTGAGGACGACTGCACCGAGATATCACAAACTGGACTCTGTCTTCACTTGTCTACAAAGAAAAGGAATGATTTCAATCTGCAGTTCATACATACTAGACTACAACAATCTCTACATTTTGTAAGAACTAGACTACAATAATCTCTACATTATATAAGAACTAGACTACAACAATCTCTACATTTTATGAGAACTAGACTACAACAATCTCTACATTTCATACATACTAGACTACAACAATCTCTACATTTTGTAAGAACTAGACTACAACAATCTACATTTTATAAGAACTAGACTACAACAATCTCTACATTTTATGAGAACTAGACTACAACAATCTCTACATTTCATACATACTAGACTACAACAATCTCTACATTTTATAAGAACTAGACTACAACAATCTACATTTTATAAGAACTAGACTACAACAATCTCTACATTTTATAAGAACTAGACTACAACAATCTCTACATTTTATAAGAACTAGTCCAAAACAATGTCTACAGATATCTTTGTCTGTCCTTGTCTACATGACAGGGTATACAATTAGTCTAACTAAACACTGTGGTGTACCTGAATAACCTGAGCTGTCTGTCCTTGTCTACAAGACAGGGTATACAATAAGTCTAATAACCTGAGCTGTCTGTCCTTGTCTACATGACAGGGTATACAATAAGTCTAACTAAACACTGTGGAGTACCTGAATAACCTGAGCTGTCTGTCCTTGCCTACATGACAGGGTATACAATAAGTCTAACTAAACACTGTGGAGTACCTGAATAACCTGAGCTGTCTGTCCTTGTCTACATGACAGGGTATACAGTAAGTCTAACTAAACACTGTGGAGTACCTGAATAACCTGAGCTGTCTGTCCTTGTCTACATGACAGGGTATACAATAAGTCCTTGTCTACATGACAGGGTATACAATAAGTCTTACTTAACACTGTGGAGTACCTGAATAACCTGAGCTGTCTGTTCTTGTCTACATGACAGGGTATACAATAAGTCTAACTAAACACTGTGGTGTACCTGAATAACCTGAGCTGTTGGTCCTAATCTACATGATAGGGTATACAATAAGTCCTTGTCTACATGACAGGGTATACAATAAGTCTAACTAAACACTGTGGTGTACCTGAATAACCTGAGCTGTCTGATCTTGTCTACATGACAGGGTATACAATAAGTCCTTGTCTACATACCAGGGTATACAATAAGTCCTTGTCTACATGATAGGGTATACAATAAGTCCTTGTCTACATGACAGGGTATACAATAAGTCTTACTAAACACTGTGGAGTACCTGAATAACCTGAGCTGTCTGTCCTTGTCTACTTGACAGGGTATACAATAAGTCTAACTAAACACCATGGAGTACCTGAATAACCTGAGCTGTCTGTCCTCGTCTACATGACAGGGTATACAATTGGTCTAACTAAACACTGTGGAGTACCTGAATAACCTGAGCTGCCTGATCTTGTGTACATGACAGGGTATAAAATTGGTCTAACTAAACACTGTGGAGTACCTGAATAACCTGAGCTGTCTGTCTTTGTCTGCATGACAGGGTATACAATTGGTCTAACTAAACACCGTGGAGTACCTGAATAACCTGAGCTGCCTGATCTTGTCTACATGACAGGGTATACAATAAGTCCTTGTCTACATACCAGGGTATACAATAAGTCCTTGTGTACATGATAGGGTATACAATAAGTCCTTGTCTACATACCAGGGTATACAATAAGTCCTTGTCTACATGATAGGGTATACAATAAGTCCTTGTCTACATGACAGGGTATACAATAAGTCTAACTAAACACTGTGGAGTACCTGAATAACCTGAGCTGTCTGTCCTTGTCTACATGACAGGGTATACAATAAGTCTAACTAAACACTGTGGAGTACCTGAATAACCTGAGCTGTCTGTCCTTGCCTACATGACAGGGTATACAATAAGTCTAACTAAACACTGTGGAGTACCTGAATAACCTGAGCTGTCTGTCCTTGTCTACATGACAGGGTATACAGTAAGTCTAACTAAACACTGTGGAGTACCTGAATAACCTGAGCTGTCTGTCCTTGTCTACATGACAGGGTATACAATAAGTCCTTGTCTACATGACAGGGTATACAATAAGTCTTACTTAACACTGTGGAGTACCTGAATAACCTGAGCTGTCTGTTCTTGTCTACATGACAGGGTATACAATAAGTCTAACTAAACACTGTGGTGTACCTGAATAACCTGAGCTGTTGGTCCTAATCTACATGATAGGGTATACAATAAGTCCTTGTCTACATGACAGGGTATACAATAAGTCTAACTAAACACTGTGGTGTACCTGAATAACCTGAGCTGTCTGATCTTGTCTACATGACAGGGTATACAATAAGTCCTTGTCTACATACCAGGGTATACAATAAGTCCTTGTCTACATGATAGGGTATACAATAAGTCCTTGTCTACATGACAGGGTATACAATAAGTCTTACTAAACACTGTGGAGTACCTGAATAACCTGAGCTGTCTGTCCTTGTCTACTTGACAGGGTATACAATAAGTCTAACTAAACACCATGGAGTACCTGAATAACCTGAGCTGTCTGTCCTCGTCTACATGACAGGGTATACAATTGGTCTAACTAAACACTGTGGAGTACCTGAATAACCTGAGCTGCCTGATCTTGTGTACATGACAGGGTATAAAATTGGTCTAACTAAACACTGTGGAGTACCTGAATAACCTGAGCTGTCTGTCTTTGTCTGCATGACAGGGTATACAATTGGTCTAACTAAACACCGTGGAGTACCTGAATAACCTGAGCTGCCTGATCTTGTCTACATGACAGGGTATACAATAAGTCCTTGTCTACATACCAGGGTATACAATAAGTCCTTGTGTACATGATAGGGTATACAATAAGTCCTTGTCTACATACCAGGGTATACAATAAGTCCTTGTCTACATGATAGGGTATACAATAAGTCCTTGTCTACATGACAGGGTATACAATAAGTCTAACTAAACACTGTGGAGTACCTGAATAACCTGAGCTGTCTGTCCTTGTCTACATGACAGGGTATACAATAAATCTAACTAAACACCGTGGAGTACCTGAATAACCTGAGCTGTCTGATCTTGTCTACATGACAGGGTATACAATAAGTCTAACTAAACACTGTGGAGTACCTGAATAACCTGAGCTGCCTGATCTTGTCTACATGACAGGGTATACAATAAGTCTAACTAAACACTGTGGAGTACCTGAATAACCTGAGCTGCCTGATCTTGTCTACATGACAGGGTATACAATAAGTCTAACTAAACACTGTGGAGTACCTGAATAACCTGAGCTGCCTGATCTTGTCTACATGACAGGGTATACAATAAGTCTAACTAAACACCATGGAGTACCTGAATAACCTGAGCTGTCTGTCCTTGTCTACATGACAGGGTATACAATAAGTCTAACTAAACACTGTGGAGTACCTGAATAACCTGAGCGGCCTGATCTTGTGTACATGACAGGGTATACAATAAGTCTAACTAAACACCATGGAGTACCTGAATAACCTGAGCTGTCTGTCCTTGTCTACATGACAGGGTATACAATCGGTCTAACTAAACACTGTGGAGTACCTGAATAACCTGAGCTGCCTGATCTTGTGTACATGACAGGGTATACAATAAGTCTAACTAAACACCATGGAGTACCTGAATAACCTGAGCTGTCTGTCCTTGTGTACATGACAGGGTATACAATTGGTCTAACTAAACACTGTGGAGTACCTGAATAACCTGAGCGGCCTGATCTTGTGTTAGTACATGACAGGGTATACAATAAGTCTAACTAAACACCATGGAGTACCTGAATAACCTGAGCTGTCTGTCCTTGTCTACATGACAGGGTATACAAAAAGTCTAACTAAACACTGTGGAGTACCTGAATAACCTGAGCGGCCTGATCTTGTGTACATGACAGGGTATACAATAAGTCTAACTAAACACCATGGAGTACCTGAATAACCTGAGCTGTCTGTCCTTGTCTACATGACAGGGTATACAATCGGTCTAACTAAACACTGTGGAGTACCTGAATAACCTGAGCTGTCTGTCCTTGTCTACATGACAGGGTATACAATAAATCTAACTAAACACCGTGGAGTACCTGAATAACCTGAGCTGTCTGATCTTGTCTACATGACAGGGTATACAGTAAGTCTAACTAAACACTGTGGAGTACCTGAATAACCTGAGCTGTCTGTCCTTGTCTACATGACAGGGTATACAATAAGTCTAACTAAACACTGTGGGGTACCTGAATAACCTGAGCTGTCTGTCCTTGTCTACATGACAGGGTATACAATAAGTCTAACTAAACACCATGGAGTACCTGAATAACCTGAGCTGTCTGTCCTTGTGTACATGACAGGGTATACAATTGGTCTAACTAAACACTGTGGAGTACCTGAATAACCTGAGCTGTCTGTCCTTGTCTACATGACAGGGTATACAATTGGTCTAACTAAACACTGTGGAGTACCTGAATAACCTGAGCTGCCTGATCTTGTGTACATGACAGGGTATACAATTGGTCTAACTAAACACCGTGGAGTACCTGAATAACCTGAGCTGCCTGATCTTGTCTACATGACAGGGTATACAATTGGTCTAACTAAACACTGTGGAGTACCTGAATAACCTGAGCTGTCTGTCCTTGTCTACATGACAGGGTATACAATTGGTCTAACTAAACACCGTGGAGTACCTGAATAACCTGAGCTGCCTGATCTTGTGTACCGTATGATACATCTACACCATTTATCTCTAACACTCTGTCATCGGGTCTTAATCTGCCGTCTAATGCTGCAAGGCTCTCTGGAACCTGAAATCAGAAAGCAAGTTTAGACAGTTATTTGTATGAATGTCACTTCATCATATTTTATTGGACATACACATACGCAAGCACAAATGAATGTTTGTGTGAAAAAACAATAAATAAATTTTATGGTATATAAAACTGGAATATTCAATCATACATTCACAAAGCTTATTAAGAGAGAGAGAAAGAGAGAGAGAGAGCTGAATCAGTGAGATTTTATCCACTCTCTTTCCTCTGCTGTAAGCTGTACTTACTAGATTTAGGATATACACCCCCGGACCAATCCTGTCAAATAAGTGGTAAGCCAATTATATAAAGGAATTCAGGAAATATCACTATCACTACAACTTTTTTTTTAAATTTCCTAGCTGTCTATTCCATTCTTTGTCTCATATGAATACAAATTAAGATATATACATATAGCATAGATTTATATATTTGTTTTTGAAAACAGTCAACATATCTTTTTTCTGCTCAAGAACAAAATAAGAATCTTATTAATACATGCACATACCTTTTCCCAACAAGTTTAATCCCAAGTTGCTTCCCTTTGACTTTGTTCAATGTTATCTTCAATATTTCTAGAAATCAAGTATACATCTTATGATCCAAAACTTCCAAATAAACATAACCACAGAACATTTCTTTGTAATGAATGTTAAGGATTTTTCTCTTCAAGGAAATACCTAATAACACTTGTGACAAGATGAGACAAAATTTCAGTCAATGATTGGCTGTTACCTTCTGACAAAATCTCAGTCAATGATTGGTTGTTACCTTCTGACAAAATCTCAGTCAATGATTGACTGTTACCTTCTGACAAAATCTCAGTCAATGATTGATTGTTACCTTCTGACAAAATCTCAGTCAATGATTGATTGTTACCTTCTGACAAAATCTCAGTCAATGATTGGTTGTTACCTTCTGACAAAATCTTAGTCAATGATTGATTGTTACCTTCTGACAAAATCTCAGTCAATGATTGGTTGTTACCTTCTGACAAAATCTCAGTCAATGATTGATTGTTACCTTCTGACAAAATCTCAATCAATGATTGATTGTTACCTTCTAACAAAATCTCAGACAATGATTGGTTGTTACCTTCTTTTTCTATTGGTCGATTTTCCTCAGCCTTTTCTCTGTAAAGAGTGAGGCGACATACAGGGTAGTAATGTCCCAGTAGCTGCTGAGCTTTGTAGTGTGAAGCCTGGGTCAGATCCTCACCATTTACCTATAACAGACAGGAATACACTTCTAATGTATCAATACAGTCACAATCTACAAACAAGTAACAGGTTATTAATGTCTACAGTAACTACTGAACTTCATAGTGTGAGGCCTGGGTCAGATCCTCAGCATTTACCAAACTTCAAGATATCCTTAGGTCTAAGATATTGAGGTTAAAATACAATAAAATTGTGGTTGGGACATTCACATCACTTTGATATATTCATGGTATTCCCCCTTCCCCTGGGAGACCATGGTTTGAATAAAGTTGAATCTACACTATGTCAGGAAGCTTTCATTTAAGTTTCATTGTGTCTGGCTTAGTGGTTTTTCAAAAGAAGATTTTAAAAAGATGCCACCAAATTTTCACTAATTCTGTATTACCTCCCCTTGAAAGAGTGAATGTCACTTCATTTGAACAAATTTGAATCTTCCTTCACCCAAGCATGCTTTGTGGCAAGTTTGGTTTAATTGGTCCAATGACTCTGGAGAAGGTCAAAATTGTTAAACAAGTTTACACTTGGACAGACAGTCATCCGTCATGTTGGTCAAAATGTGAACAGAAAAACTCATTTGGGCTTTCAAGCTCAGATAAGCTTAAAAAAACTGAAGCTCTTTTAAAAAATTTTCTTTGAATTTTTTTAAAATTAGATTTGCATGTTTAAATGGTAAGCACAAATTGAATGAGTTTTGGGTTTAAAACATCACAGACCTCTAGAATCTGGTCCCCAGGCATTAGACGTCCATCCTTAGCAATGACCCCATCTGGAAATACTTCCTGTATAACAATGCACCCCTGAAATTCACAGGAAGTTCATTAGATTTATAAAATTATTGTAATAATTAATGACATTTTCACTTCCATTGAATTAACAGACAGAACTTCAAAGACAGAATATCATGAAATATTGAATACTGTAAATTCCTTATTTTACGCGAGTACTTAATATCGCGAAATGGCCCAAGGGCCTCAAATCACGGGAACAATAATTCGCGAATCGGTGATTTATCTAGAGATTTTACAGACATTAAAGCACCATGAAAATAAAAACGAGTAATTTTATTTCGCGAGTGGTGCTCCTCGCGTAATTACGTGATAATTTATTCCTCGCGTATATTTAGGAATCTACAGTAAATATATAATTATCCTATTTGTAATTATTTCAACCTCCATGCTTTCCTCAAAAATACACTTCTGACCTCACAATCTCTGCATATATCAAAGACTAGTAAACAAGAGAAAATATTGTGTTCCACAATGTTGGTTCTTAACTCCATTTTAATAAACTAGTCACAATGAGAGTTGAATGTTAAGTTCCTTGAGATTACCTCTACTGTTTAACAGAGGAAATTTCTGATGACTTACCGATGCATTATTTCCTCCCACAGTGCTGATGACAGGATCATTGGGACTCATGAAAGGAGTGTCATTCCCTCCTTCAGAACAGATTCCATAGTTTATCTAACTTGCTGTTTCTTCTCAAGATCTATCTGACTTGAAATCACTTCCTCCCACAATACTAATGCCAAGGTTTGTCTGACTTACCAAAGGAGTATCATTTCCTCCAATAATACTGATTCCAAGTTCTGTCTGACTTACCAAAGGAGTATCACTTCCTCCCTAAACAATGATACCAAGTTTTCCCTGACTTAAAGGAGTATCATTTCTTCCCACAATATTGATACCAAGGTTTGTCTGACTTACCAAAGGTCAGTATCATTTCCCCCCACAATACTCAGATACCAAAGGAGTATCATTTCCTCCCACAATATTGATACCAAGGTTTGTCTGACTTACCAAAGGAGTATCATTTCCTCCCACAATACTGATACCAAAGGAGTACCATTTCCTCCCATGATACTGATTCTTAGGTTTGTCTGACTTACCAAAGGAGTATCATTTCCTCCTACAATAGTGATACTTAGGTTTGTCTGACTTACCAAAGGAGTATCATTTCCTCCTACAATTTATCTGACTTACCAAAGGAGTATCATTTCCTCCTACAATAGTGATACTTAGGTTTGTCTGACTTACCAAAGGAGTATCATTTCCTCCTACAATTTATCTGACTTACCAAAGGAGTATCATTTCCTCCTACAATACTGATGCCAAGGTCTGCCTGACTCCGCTGGATTTCAATAGTTGACACCTCTCCATCCAGGACTGGGTTCTTTCCTATTCAACAAGTCAATCAAATTCAGTAAAAAGAGCACCCATTTATTGAAAGGAGCCATCTGTTCGTTATCTCCATATATTTCATTGTATTCAATTTTATAATGTTTATGCTGTACTTGTGCATAATTAAACTTATTCTTAAATATACAACTGTGTAAACTGATGTCCTTTCAATTTTAAAAAGTTTACAAGGAGATAAACTTAAACTTCTCACATAGTTAAACCATCGAGGTCTATGGTGAAACTAAAGCTGTTAGGAATTCATTAAGCATTTGTGTATGTGAAAAGTCCGAGTTCATATCCTCATGAACTTTTCAAAAATAAAAGACATTACTTACATTTACATTTTAAATCATTAATGTTTTCATTCAAACACACATTCATCATTAATGTTTTCATTCAAACACACATTCATTAAAAATCTGTAGAAGGATTATATTTCTCACATTAGCCTGGGATGTTTGTAATGTTGTTATTAACTTATTGTGACTTATTGTAACTTATTGTGACACCTTTATACTGTGGTCTGTTGTAATGTTGTTATTAACTTATTGTGACTTATTGTAACTTATTGTGACACCTTTATACTGTGGTCTGTTGTAATGTTGTTATTAACTTATTGTGACATCTTTATACTGTGGTCTGTTGTAATGTTGTTATAAAATTATTGTGACTTATTGTAACTTATTGTGACACCTTTATACTGTGGTCTGTTGTAATGTTGTTATAAACTTATTGTGACTTATTGTAACTTATTGTGACACCTTTAAAGTGTGGTCTGTTGCAATGTTGTTATAACTTACTGTGACTTACTGTGACTTATTGTGACTTATAATTGTGACACCTTTATGCTGTGGTCTGTTGTAATGTTGTTATTAACTTATTGTGACTTATTGTGACTTATTTTAACTTATTGTGACACCTTTATACTGTGGTCTGTTGTAATGTTGTTATTAACTTATTGTGACTTAATGTAACTTATTGTAACATATTGTGACACCTTTATACTGTGGTCGGTTGTAATGTTGTTATTAACTTATTGTAACTTATTGTGACACCTTTATACTGTGGTCTGTTGTAATGTTGTTATTAACTTATTGTAACTTATTGTAACTTATTGTGACACCTTTAAGCTGTGGTCTGTTGTAATGTTGTTATGACTTACTGTGACTTACTGTGACTTATTGTGACTTATAATTGTGACACCTTTATGCTGTGGTCTGTTGTAATGTTGTTATTAACTTATTGTGACTTATTGTGACTTATTTTAACTTATTGTGACACCTTTATACTGTGGTCTGTTGTAATGTTGTTATTAACTTATTGTAACTTATTGTAACTTATTGTGACACCTTTATACTGTGGTCTGTTGTAATGTTGTTATTAACTTATTGTGACTTATTGTAACTTATTGTGACACCTTTATACTGTGGTCTGTTGTAATGTTGTTATTAACTTATTGTGACTTATTGTGACACCTTTATACTGTGGTCTGTTGTAATGTTGTTATTAACTTATTGTGACTTATTGTAACTTATTGTAACTTATTGTTACATCTTTATACTGTGGTCTGTTGTAATGTTGTTATTAACTTTTTGTAACTTATTGTGACACCTTTATACTGTGGTCTGTTGTAATGTTGTTATTAACTTATTGTGACTTATTGTAACTTATTGTGACACCTTTATACTGTGGTCTGTTGTAATGTTGTTATTAACTTATTGTAACTTATTGTAACTTATTGTAACACCTTTATACTGTGGTCTGTTGTAATGTTGTTATTAGCTTATTGTGACTTATTGTAACTTACTGTGACACCTTTATACTGTGGTCTGTATTTTTTGGGGGGATGGGGGGAGGTGGGAGGGGGTAGTTTTGGTGATTGTAATGTCAAAATTGTATAAGCTGAAGAATAAGTTGCATTATTCCAGTTCACCTGTGGTAGTTCATTATGGGATGAACTTAAATTAATACAAAGGAATCTTGGATAAAATCTTTACTGACATAAAACTTATAATATGCTTGTATCTATATATTTCATTTTTTTCTCACTTATAAAAAGAAATCAAATAACCTGTTACAATTTACACCTTTAAATAGTGTTTTTATATTGTTTTAATTAAAAAAAAAAACAATACTCTGCCTTCATCCCAAACTGGCAACTAAAACCACTACATTAAACACTGTGAGCCTGTGGAAATCAATATTAAAATCTGTACCTCCATCTTGGTCTCTGAATTGACACTCCCATAGATGGCTTTGAAGGGCACTTCTGGGGCCCTGGAAGGTACAGCCCAGCGTTGCCTTTATACACTTAGTGACGGCACCTCGGCACCTGTGGAGGAGGTGAGCCTCCAGCTCACACCTGGGCAGGACCTCCTCACAGTAATCCACATTGGGACACACCACCAACAACTTGTCCAGTAACCTGTAATATAACAAGGATTAATTAAAAATCACCAGGAAAATAATTATAATCTCTACCCTTATCCAATTTTAGGCTGGATGTATACATCTTTTAGAGCATCATTTACATGTATAAGAGTTAGGTCTATAATTCATCTATACACTTAGTCATAGCAGGGCATTATTTATACACCTAAAGTTAAGACAGGGCATTATCTTTACAATGAAATAGGTGAAGATAATGAACAGTGATCAATCTCAAAAAACCTAGAAACAATACAAATATGTGAACATGGACCCCTGGAAATACAATGGGAGACACAAAAACTACATACAGGTGACAGTGGAACAAGGAAAGTTGATGGAATAGCTTAAGTCATCTATCATCTCATTTGTCATACTTTTTAGTTGTTAGTTTGTGTGTTAGTTTTTTTTTATTGTTTAACGTCCCTCTCGAGAATTTTTCACTCATATGGAGACGCCACCACTTGCCGGTGTAGAGCTGCCAAATTTTGACCTATAGTCACTCAGGGCCATTGAGCAGTGAGGAATCTTTTTCGTGCCAGCACCTACTGCGACACAGGACCTCGGTTTATATGGTCTCATCCAAAGGACCGGTCTCCATGTCCCACAGTGGGATTCGAACCCACGACGTAAGGATTAACTCCTTACTCCGTGACACTAGAGCGAGCGGTCTAACCACTGCACCATGCGGGCGACTTTTAGTTGTTAGTAAAATGACCCTTCAAATGTCAACTATTATAAGTCAGTAAAACATCCAAATATGAAATAGATGCTTCAGTCTCTGTGGTATCTTTACTTCAAGTTTACTGGGATATATAGTCAACATGTAAATGGAAGTGACTATTGTTAATTGATAAAACATCATCGATACATTTGAATGTCGACTTGAAGGCCACAGCAAGTGGTTTTTTTCTTTCTATGTGGAAGTTTTTGAATAAATTCTGCTTCATAGAATATAAAACCAGGTCAGCTAGTAAAGGGGCACAATTAGTGCACATGAGAATTCCAACAGATTTTTGGAAGACCAGCAGAAGAGTATTAACTATAGAAGATTAAAGTCATGGTAGGGCATTATCTATAGAAGATAAGTCATGGTAGGGCATTATCTTTAGAAGATAAGTCATGGTAGGGCATTATCTATAGAAGATAAGTCATGGTAGGGCATTATCTTTAGAAGATAAGTCATGGTAAGGCATTATCTTTAGAAGATAAGTCATGGTAGGGCATTATCTATACAAGAAATGTTCATTTATATAGTATAGCAGGGCATAATTAAAATAAGTTAAGTAGAACGGGCATTAATTATTTAATATACAATTTAGTCATAGAAGGGCATTATTTATAGAAGATTCCGGTAAGTCATGGTAAGGGTATTATCTATACAAACCAAGGCAGGGCATTATCTATAAACAAGATAAATCATGACAGGGCATTATCTATAAACAAGATTAATCATGACAGGGCATTATCTATAAACAAGATAAATCATGACAGGGCATTATCTATAAACAAGATAAATCATGACAGGGCATAATCTATATGTAATACAAGATAAGTTATGATGGGACATTATCTATATACACAAGTCAAGGCTATCTGTATACACCATACAAGAAAAGTAATGGCAGAACATTACCTATGTACATAAGTCATAACAGGACATTATCTGTATAAAAGATAAGTCATGGTAGGGAATTATCTACATAAATTAAGTCATGGCAGTTCTTGCAGTTACTTTGAACTGGACTTGTTCCAAAAATTGAACTTAACTTAAACTTATACACAATTTTGAGTCAAATGGTACCCATTTAGGCTCAGATGATCAAAGAGGAAGAATGTGATCTAAAATGGCCGTGCAGAGGAGGGAGTTAATAGTTTTTTATGTCACTGGCTTTTATTTCAGTTCAAGGTGTGTAATTAGCAATTCTTTATTGCCAACATCAGACTGCCTTAAGAATAATGAGGAATGCTCCACAAGAACTATCATAAATTTTGTGGTTTTTAATTTCCATTTCTCTTGTTTATTTGTAACAAGACAATGATATTCAATGTAATCTGGATGAGGAAGTAAAGAGCAGAAATTATTTGCATCTTCAGGAATTTTGCCACTGAATTCAGGCAGGAGACATTAACATCTCCAGGAATTTTGCCACTGAATTCAGGCAGGAGACATTAACACTTCCAGGAATTTTGACACTGAATTCAGGCAGGAGACATTAACATCTCCAGGAATTTTGACACTGAATTCAGGCAGGAGACATTAACACGGTTAAACAGCTGTCAGATAGAATTCCATAAACTTCATCTTGATTGACACCATAAATCTGATCTTGATTGACAGAGATCATAAACTAAAGACTACATGTAATTAGTTCTGTCCAGATGACATTACTAATGGAATATATTCACACTGTCAGATGGACAAAATTCAACCTTTGGCTTATTAAAGTTATATTCACTTCATTTCAACTCCATGGACAAAAAATGTAATGGGATCAATGAAACATTATCTTATCAAAATTACATTATTAGTTGAATTCTGCATATCATGAACATTCCAACAACAATTTCTTCTTTTTTATCTCAATTCTTCCATCCATTTTGTGGTTCACCATATTCCACAATATTTATGATATATACATAATCTTTAAAATCATTATCTCATTTTCTTCCTTTTTTCTTTTGTGGATTAATTTTAAGTTTATGTTTGTAACAACAAGGAAATTAAAATAAAAGGGTATTCAGATATTAAGTACATGTATGTACTGCTTCATTTTTCCCTTTCCATCAATTGTCAAAAATCTATTAAAGTTTAAAAATTAAATATGCTTATGAATATTACAAGTGCAAATTACTCAGTCATTAAAAAGAGCTTATATAAAGTTCACTTTATGTACAAAATGACCCTGTTTAAGGTACAAAATGACCCTGTGTAAGGACCATTTAATCAATGTATATATCCACCTTATTTCCAATTTCAAGCATTTATATCAAGTAAAGAGACTTCATATTTCCATTACCCATAAAAGAGCTCCTTCTTGGAGACTCTGTGTATTGGAGGATGGGTGTAAAGAATACAATGTCCTGACTCTTAAAGGAAAATGGTATATTTGAGCACATCTAACAAAAAATTAAAATATAGCAGACTTCTTAATAAAGACTCCCCCCCCCCCCTTTTCTCAGATTTTTACACAACATATCTGAAAATTGAAGTGGACACTATTTTTTAAAGAAAATCACCCCTTAGATGAGTCATTTTGAGGCTTTTTTGGTTTGTAACAAATTCAGGAAGTCCTATTTCCAGAAATCCCCCCTTCCATATTCCTTCCTGATTTTTCAACTCATATTTAATAAAGTCAAAACTTGACCTTCATTAAAAAGTGAAAAACATGTAACAAACATGATATTCTTTTAATTTTTCCCCATTCAAAGAAAAAATTTCAAAGATAAAAGGATGTCTTTCCAGAAAATGGAGCAATCAGTCAAAAATAGTAAAGGAAAAACTTAACAAAACTACAATAAAGGGGTGGAATTAGTCCAAAATATCAGACATTTTCCAGGCGTTTTTCACGATTTTGATATTTGACATTCCAGGAAAACATCAGAACCGACGCCATTACTCAAAGTGGAAATTCGCCACTTCGCAACCGGAGTCAGCATTCTCGAGTCGATTTTTGACACATGCGAACTGACTTAAATCAGACTAATGTCACATCTTATCAACAGTACAATGCTTCTAGTACTTACCAATATCATTTTTATTGTTCCTTTATAATATAAAGTGTCTGGTGAAAACATTGTATCAAACTGTCAAGGTACATTTTGATTTTATGCATTTTGAGATCTTGTGAGACCTGTATCGAAATGTGAAGTAATATTTTTTTTAAAGCAATATTAGTGAGAACTCAAATAGAAGCATTGTGCTATTGATAAGTTGCTAGTATGACATTTCATTCCATTTGCAAGTATCAAAAATTGGGTTCAGTTAGGGGTGGCAAAACTTCCGCTTTTCATAATGGCGCTGGCTCTGACGTTTTCCTATCACGTAAATATCAAAATCGTGAAAAACGACTGGAAAACATCAGATATTTCAGACTAGGGTGGAATATGAATATTTACAGAAAATGTATCATGCCTGAATTGAAGTTGCTTTAATGCTTCATGGCACAGTTGATATAATTTTAGAGTTCCATAGTTACAGAAATAGGCAATCCCTACAATACATTAGGCATCACAGCAGTACCAGATCAAACCAATATTTTGTCCACATTTTCTTAAACTCTCTCTCTCTTATTGTAATCACCTGACATACCTGTAAAGATATAGGACTATGCTGTTTACATAATCTCTCTCTCTCTCTGAATCACCTGACATACCAGTGTAAGGAGATTAGAACTATGCTGTTTACATTCTCTCTCTCTCTCTCTCTCTCTCTCTCTCTCTCTCTCTCTCTGACTGTAATCACCTGACATACCTGTATGGAGATAGGACTATGCTGTTTACATAATCAATCTCTCTCTCTCTCTCTCTCTCTCTCTCTCTCTCTCTCTCTCTCTCTCTGATTGTAATCACCTGACATATCTGTAAGGAGATAGGACTATGCTGGTTACATAATCTCTCTCTCTCTCTCTCTCTCTGATTGTAATCACCTGACATACCTGTAAGGAGATTAGGACTATGCTATTTACATAATATCTCTCTCTCTCTCTCTCTCTCTCTCTCTCTCTCTCTGATTGTAATCACCTGACATACCTGTAAGGAGATAGGACTATGCTGTTTAGATCTGGTTTGACATAACATTCCAGAGACATTGTCAAACACAACAGTGCCACCATTGGTCCTATATTGTGTGTTCTTAAATATTTATGGTGAAAATTAGAAAGATGTTATTGCAGCGTTCCATCACTGTGACAAATCTTCAATTAGTCTTGGAAGCTGCTCCATTCTCTCATCATAAAGAATGACACAGTCAAACATTGGAAAAACCCCACTTAATAT